GGGAATCTGGTGGTGTCATGGCAGATGTCTTGTTAGTGGTTGTCTTTACCCCTTTATTTTAATGTTTTTGTCTGTGAGGGAATCTGGTGGTGTCATGGCAGATGTCTTGTTAAGTCTCCCAAACGAAGTTTGGGAAGACTTATTGTTTTTGCTCAGTTCTTATTATTATTATTATTCTTCTTCTTCTTCTTCTTCCGCCGCTTTTAAATTTGAACTTGTCCGCACCCGTTCTCCAAAACCGCTTGTCAGATTAACTTAGGGTTTCACAATATGTTAGACTAACATGTCTAGTGGTGCAATCAGGGTTTTGTTTGTGCAATGGGGTTTATAAAGGGGTACTTTGAGGGGCAAAAAGAAAAGAGGGTTTTACTATAGAACCCTATGGGATTTTATTTTTTTAAATTTTCAAATGATTATAAATTGAAAACCGTTTGTGATAGACACAATCTTTTTAATTGAAAATGTTCTAAATGATAAAGCCCATTAAATGAAATACAGGGTTAGTCCCCAGGGGTCACCCCCACCCCCTGCCATTTAAGAAAGTTCTAATACCTTGTAAGTGGTCAAGATCCCCACCCCTAAACCATATATATTCTGGTTTGTCATGCTAAGATGGTTTGAATGATAGACAGGGTTAGTCCCCAGGGGTCATCCCGACCCCCTGCCATTTGAGAAAGTTCTAATATCTTGTAAATGGTCGAGATCCCCACCCCTAAACCATATATATTCTGGTTTGTCATGATAAAGCACATCAAATGAAATACAGGGTTAGTCCCCAGGGGTCACCCCCAACCCCTGCCATTTAAGAAAGTTCTAATATCTTCTAAGTGGTCAAGATCCCCACCCCTAAACCATATATATTCTGGTTTGTCATGCTAAGATGGTTTGAATGATATACAGGGTTAGTCCCCAGGGGTCATCCCGACCCCCTGCCATTTGAGAAAGTTCTAATATCTTGTAAATGGTCGAGATCCCCACCCCTAAACCATATATTTTCTGGTTTGTCATGATAAAGCACATCAAATGTTATACAGGGTTAGTCCCCAGGGGTCACCCCCACTCCCTGCCATTTTAGAAAGTTCTAATATCTTGTAAGTGGTCAATATCCCCACCCCTAAACCATATATATTCTGGTTTGTCATGCTAAGATGGTTTGAATGATATACAGGGTTAGTCCCCAGGGGTCATCCCGACCCCCTGCCATTTGAGAAAGTTTCTAATATCTTGTAAATGGTTGAGATCCCCACCCCTAAACCATATATATTCTGGTTTGTCATGATAAAGCACATCAAATGAAATACAGGGTTAGTCCCCAGGGGTCACCCCCACCCCCTGCCATTTAAGAAAGTTTTAATATCTTCTAAGTGGTCAAGATCCCCACCCCTAAACCATATATATTCTGGTTTGTCATGCTAAGATGGTTTGAATGATATACAGGGTTAGTCCCCAGGGGTCATCCCGACCCCCTGCCATTTGAGAAAGTTCTAATATCTTGTAAATGGTCGAGATCCCCACCCCTAAACCATATATATTCTGATTTGTCATAATAAAGCACATCAAATGAAATACAGGGTTAGTCCCCAGGGGTCACCCCCACCCCCTGCCATTTAAGAAAGTTCTAATATCTTCTAAGTGGTCAAGATCCCCACCCCTAAACCATATATATTCTGGTTTGTCATGCGAAAGATGGTTTGAATGATATACAGGGTTAGTCCCCAGGGGTCATCCCGACCCCCTGCCATTTGAGAAAGTTCTAATATCTTGTAAATGGTTGAGATCCCCACCCCTAAACCATATATATTCCTATTTGTCATGTCTCGAACATTTGAATGACGTATACGGTCAGTCCCCAGGGGTTCCCCCCACCCCCAATGTTCTAATATCTTGTAAATGGTTGAGATCCCCACCCCTAAACCATATATATTCCTGTTCGTCATGTAATGAACATTTGAATGACGTATAGGGCCAGTCCCCAGGGGTTCCTCCCCACCCCCAATGTTCTAGTATCTTGTAAATGGTCGAGATCCCCACCCCTAAACCATATATATTCTGGTTTGTCATGCCAAGATGATTTGAATGATATACAAGGTTAGTCCCCAGGCATCACTAATGCATATAACTTTACTGGACCAAACCAATTTTCACTGGACGTTGCCCAATGTCAGGCGACCCTGGGAATTACGAATTATGGGAGCTTCGTTTGGGAGACTTCGTAACAGCATCCTGTTACAATCATTTCTTGTTAGTAGTTGTCTTTACCCCTTTATTTTAATGTTTTTGTCTGTGAGGGAATCTGGTGGTGTCATGGCAGATGTCTTGTTAGTGGTTGTCTTTACCCCTTTATTTTAATGTTTTTGTCTGTGAGGGAATCATGTGGTGTCATGGCAGATCTTTGATATTCTCAGTTAATTTTGATCACAACTTTCCAGGAATCTAGATATTTTTTAAAGCTTGAAAATTTGTATAGACACTTGTCTATTTTTGAAGACCACATATGTGTATGTTGACTTCTTGGTGTATTGATTGTTTATGTTGTTGGGTTGCTATTCTACCTACTAATGTCCTGTATATCATTTTATTCATGTTTGTAGTCTTGACATAACATAGCTTACAGTAGTTCACCCTATCAGTTGTTTCATCTAAATTAGAATTTACGGAATTCAATACAATGTAAATGTAGATACTTCAATGTTATGTGTATACAAATGGTGAGATATTTATGAATTGAATTAATACCAAAAACGTGTTTCCTAATCGATATGCATACCTTCTTTTATATTATGTATGCATTCACATGTTTCTTTTAGGGTTTTATAAGGAGATAAGTTTATGCAGCATGGTGGTCAAAGGCTATTAAAGGAGGTCAGTCTGTTGGAAAAATAAAATTGACGCCATGTGAGATGTTTTAGTTTGAAAAATATTTACTGCTGTGAATCAATATATTATTGAAGCCAGACAGAAAAGGGATTTATTTGTATATACAGGATTAAAAGATTACATACAGAAAAGTTTAAAAGAAAAGTTTGCAAGGCTTTTTTTTATGCCCCACCTACGATAGTAGTAGGGGCATTATGTTTTCTGGTCTGTGCATTGGTTTGTTCGTCTGTCCGTTCGTCTGTCCTTCCATCTGTCCTGCTTCAGGTTAAAGTTTTTGGTCATTCAGGTTAAAGTTTTTGGTCAAGGTAGTTTTTGATGAAGTTGAAGTCCAATCAACTTGAAACTTAGTACACATGTTCCCTATGATATGATCTTTCTATTTTTAATGCCAAATTAGAGTTTTGACCTGAATTTCACGGTCCACTGAACATAGAAAATGATAGTGCGAGTGGGGCATCCATGTACTATGGACACATTCTTGTTTTAAATTTGATGAAAAATAAAAATTCTTGTGTGGAAATTAAAAGGTGAGTTGGTGTGAAAATGTTGATTTTAAAGCAGTTACTTTTAGTTGTTTTGGTCTCATCTACATTTATACTGACTTCATTTATTTCCACAAAATGACAAAATAAAGAATGGTGAGACAAAAAAGAGAAATTGTTTAAAAGGATAACAAAATATTGTGGTATCAAAGGGGATGAATGTTTATGACTATGAAAATTAACACTTCATTACAATTTTTTTGAAAATGTTTGTTATAAGTACCAAAAATTTCATAAAAAGATACTTTCTGAATTATAGACACACTGGAGGAGAGTTGTCTCATTAGCAATCATACCACATCTTCTTATTTTTATAATATTGTGAACCTTATAAATCTTTAAGAATTTTTTACTGCTGCTTAAATATTGTTAGGGAAAAATAGAAATAATTGTATGAATTCATTTCTGATTTTTGTGAAACATTCAAAATGTATTTCAGATTCTCAGATCAAGTGTTTATAATCAAAATACATGTGTAACTTGTAATTTTAATTTTAATCTGACTGTTGGAGGTACATTTTTTCCATGTTCATTTTAATTATATTACATTACTCATATACAAACAGTATTAAACTTAAAAACAGTTTGAAATCAGATTATATGCTAACTCATGAATACAAGTAGAATTTTATTAAAGTTTTATATATCAGACAGTAAGTCTAAAATGTAATAGAAAATGTATGCAATGAGAACGGAGCACACCAATGTACTACCATTACCTCTTTAAACAATTAACCTATCCAAAATTGGACCAATTTTTTTAAGCACCATTGACCTCTTAATCTTTAAAAATGATTTCTCTGTCAAAAGTTAATACAATTCTACTTGCATTATAGTATTTTATGTCGAAGTTTTCTAACAAATTGATCTGAATGAAATTTAGTTGTAATCACCTTATTTGGTTTATTCAGCTGTAAAATTTTATGAATAAATTATTTGGAGCCTTCTTTTATATAACATCATTGCACATGTTACAACAATTGATCAGTAAACTATCAGAATAGTTAAAATTTGATTTTAGTTTACATTGAAAACATCTTTGAAGTTTTTTGACCTATGAATTTGTCAATTTTACATGATTTCACATGAATTGACATCTTTTTCTGTGTCATTGGATTAACTGATATGAAAAACCTAAAAATTGGCTGATTTTGATCGTAAGAAATTGTCCAAAAATTGATATTTTATGATTTTTATTATTACGGATGAAAAAGTAGATAAATCAGTTGACTTGGTCATGATGCTTTCATGATAGCTAACATAAAAATACTGCAGAAATTAGTCAATAATATAAAAGAGATTTTAGACGTGGCAAAATATGTATGTATGAAAATGACTGATTGAGATCAGTTACATTGAAATTTTGATAAGATGTTCATAACAGATAACAAGGATAGGAGAAATCATCTACTGTATAATTATTCCATTTAAGTCATAGAGAATGTACCGAATGACATTTACACTTTAATTAAGGATAACGATGCTAGGACAGCACAAATATGAATCATGTATTTCCTGTCAATCATGACATGGTAGATGACCATTGGATGTCAACAGGATTTGACAGTATTTACCTTTAGAAGTCAGATTGGCCAGTGATTAATTTTATCTATTGTACTGTTGTACAAAATACTTAGTAAAGGATTATTACACATTTGAAATTCAACTGAACTGTGGCAATGTACAAATTGTAACTTCATTCATTGTGGAACATTGTTTACATGAAATTCTTGTCAAAGTGGTCAGTTAAAGAGATTTTAAAGTTAGATATTTGATGTGAATATAGACCAGAAATATTGTTTACATTTAATATAAATATATGATATAAAATTACTGTTTATTAGTGGAAAATATTCTGGATTTAGTCAGTTAAACTTAAATGAACTGAACTGTAAGTATGAATAACTTGACAAAAATAAGAAAACTGAAATTTATATCAAAATTGAACATAACTTTTACTGTAGAAAAAACCTACTGCAAATATATTTATTTTTATGCAATGTACAAGTACTTGTGTATAAATTTTTAATATTTTACAAGTAAATTTCACCTAGGATACTAAAAATGAAGGGGGAAACTACTTATTTTCACAAGCAAATGATTCTCATGGAATATTTTTTATATTGTGCGTATGGAATGTATTCTATCACTTACAGATTGGCATTGGAATTAAACTCATTTTTGTCTTGCCTGCGATGAAAGTAGCGGATGATGAGACATAGATATTGCTTTTCTGGCAACGACGATGTAGTTAGCATTTTCCGCATGTTAGGATACATGTCAAATAGAAATGCACTAATAAAAAATTTAACCTGAAGGTCATGACAAAAAATAACTAGAAATAATTTACCATTGGTTTTCTAAGCAAAATCATTAAATTTGTTGCTTTACTTGGTATATATACATTGTAGCTTATACATGGAAGATTCTATGTATTTCGTTGTACATGACAGTAATTTTGTAAAATGAAGCTGGAAATGACATTTAATTATAAGTGTCAAAGCTAAGTATAATGATACTTTGTATACAGTTATACTTTAAACTGCGGAAATTATACCACTTTTTTCAGTTCTTTGAACTTAACATCAATCTAATACACGAAAGGTTTGGGTCTGAAAGTTGTGCAAAAAAAATGCTATTCTTTGAAAGAATTGTTTTTAAAACAGATCAATCACCACACCTGTTTTAGGAATATTTATTTGTAGCGCATTTTCCATGATTTAAGGAAATATTAAGAGACTTCCTTATTAACAGATCTCGTGGTCTAAAGGTGGAGAAGGTTTTTTTTTAATACATACATGTATTCATGTATTTACTTATCATTCGTTCGTGTTTTATCTTTGGAGATTTTAGGGAACAACCATTTAACTTCAAGGGGGGGGGGGGGGGGGGGGGGGGGGGTATGGATTTTTCCTAAAAAAATATTCTGATCCCCAATTTGATGAAAAAAAATATTGTGGTCAAGCAGATGACAAAAAAAAAAATATTCTGAATGCAGATTTTCTCCATACCTTAAGTGTTAAATTTTGAAAAAAATAATAATTTTCTGACTTGGACAAAAAATCAAAACCCCCCTCCCCTTGAAGTTAATAAATGGTTGCTCCCTTAGGAAGTTACCAAGGATATAGGAAACATCCCGATTTCAACAATTGATATTGCTACATATATCCTGTATAAAATATCAGGAAAGTTTCAGCTGTAAAAGCTTGAAAGGACATCTGAAGTTGGGTAAGATGGCAAAATATTTTCTACATAAGGGAAAGAAAAACAGGGATTTCAGGGATAACATTATGACATTGTAAGCATAAAAGTTCTTGCCTTTGGTCGCAGATCTAGGCTTTGTAAAGAGGATAACACTATTTTTTTAAGTTTGGACCATTATTTTTGTCTCAAAATCACAAAGGTGAGACATCGGGATTGCTTTTCCGGCGACGGCTGCAGCGATGGCGTCAACAATTGTTAATTAAGTTTTCTGCTTAAGTATGTTTGATAGGAACAACGTGTGATAGATCATTGATATTTAATTTAAAGTTGCATTACTATCAGTACATATCAGTTTGATGACTATTTCGAGGCCCTGCCCCCTAGGTCATGGTCTAGTGACTTTGAATTAATAAGCAATTTTCAATGTTAAGTTTTCTGCTTAAGTTAGTTTGATAGTAATAGGATCTACTTGTGATAGATCAATGATATTTTGTATAAAGTTGTATTACTATCAGTACATATCTTTTTGTTGACTATTTTGAGGCCCTGCCCCACAAGATCATGGTCCAGCGACTTTGAATTAATAAGCAATGGTGCTGTCCATCAGATTGTCTTTTTTTGAATTTTATGCGGACAGACGAGACATATCTCTGTGTCAACAGTTTATTTTACATTTAAGTCACATTTTGGTACTCTTGTGCTATATTGTGTGTGGCTACCCCATCAAATAAATTGTACCAGTTTGTGTTAACTCATGAACTGCAAAAAAAAGTAAAGAAAAGAAATTGTCAAAATAGAGAAAATAAACAGTTTTTTGATAACATGTTTATATCTATGACACAGTACAGGATAGTGCATGTGCATAGGAATAATTGTTTAATAGATGATAACAGTAAAGGATTGTGTTATATCTTGGAGATTGGCTGCAGACATTGTCATTGTTTATTACAGCATTATCTTCTACAAATAAATAGCTTCCTGTTCAATTCATTTATTTCTATAAATATGTGAAATTGGGAAAGAACTTTTACGTCCTGAATTTAGGATAATTTTTGCATGTAATTATATATGTAGTTTATACAAGTAAGGTGTGCTTCAATTGCACCTGTTTTATTTGCTAAAACCACCAAATAATTAACAAAATTGACTGAACTGGAACAAATATAGCCATACAACCACCTACCAATATCTTCATTTTATCTGGTTCACTAACAATAATTTACTATCCCTAAGTTTACCAATAATCAGTATTGGGTAGTTCTTCTCGATTTTTTTCAAACCATTATTAAGAGTTATCTGGACTGGTCTTTGGACTTTTTCTGTTTAAGGTAGTGCCTTGCAGCTTATTTCACTGTCGCTGCAAGCCAGACAAAAAGGGAAAAAATATATTTGATATACAAATCAAACAGACCCTTATTTTTAGGTAGTCTGTGAAGCAAATTTTGATATGAATATGGACAGTATAATTTTAATTGATAACAGGTGAAATATGCATACCGTTATTAACAAGCCCTTTTTATTTTGATTACTGTAATTTTTCCTTCATGCAGGATATATATGATAATTCCACAGAAGGTTCTTAAATTATATTGAATATAAAATTCTGATGAATGGTTTTTATGTTCCATTTTATATGAGGTTTATTAGGAGCAGGTGCGAGGGTAATGTATTATATCATAACATTGTCAGGACAGTTTCACATCATCTCTTTTCTGTTGTTGTTTTTTAGCCTATCTGTCAGCACCCCTTCTGTATCATTTATTGTTATATAACATATTCATAATTGTTATTTTACAGGACAGAGTTCAGCCTGACTCATAGAGAGAAGTTTGTGTAACCTTGTATTTATATGTTACTGATGACGATTAGTGGAGGAATTACTTAATATTTAACAGGATTTATTACAAAATGAGTCTTTTATTTCGGAGGAATTATGCTTTTGTATTTTTGTTAATGGTACTACCTATAGATGTAATTGGTAAGTAGATTTTTTAGTGATTAAATTACGAAGACAATTATCTTTAACCTTTCAAGATTTTTTTTTTAGAAATATGGGCCTATTTTGACTTGTCTGAATTAAAAAAAAAAAGAACTGAACAGCTTGTATCCCGAGAAAACCAAATATTGCAACTAAAAAGGCTTCCCATCTTGTGCATGTAATAATTATTGTTTCTATCAGTAATTTTTATGGAGAAAGGACAGTTAAATGCAGGTCATGCACAGTTAAATTTTTCAAGTTCCGTATAACTCTCTTCATAAAGGATAACTCTTTCTCAAGTTAGATGAACGCTATACAGTGCCCTTGTGATTACAGATGTAACTTGACAGCTTTGGCATCCTTTATAACCTTATAAATGTAACATATACATTTGTACATCTTAATAAATACTTGTGTCCCTGAGTTGGACTGACACTACAAAGAACATGCGTAAAAAACATGTAAACATGAAGCATGTCGAACATGGTGACATCATAAACTTGATTTATGTATTAAGGTGGCTGGGTGGTATAAATATCTAATATAGGATTTAGCTAATACTTTTTATAAATGAACTTTATCATATATTAAGTGGAAAATAAAAATAAAAAAATGGGTTCACCGTCTAGTTCAATTTTTTTGAAGGGTTCAAGTTTATTGGTTTTCATTCAAGTTTACTATAGAAATGATAGGGAAATGAATGCATAGCCATCTTTTTTGAAGAATTTCTCATGAAACCTAATATAGGATTTTTTAATGTTTGTGTTTTTTCTGTTGCTGAAATAGTCTTTTTAAATAATAAAAAATAAAATCAACAAGTCACCGTCTAGTTAAGACAAAAAATGTACATCATTAAAAATAATGAGCATTTTTTCAGAAAGGGAGATAACTCTGTCTTTTACACATTTTTCTAATTTTGAGACCAGATATAGAGAGACCTGGTTATAAAAACTTGTTATACCCTCTATACATGTAAGACCATATATAATATATATAACATTTCCAAACAGTTGGTTTGCATATTGGTTGCCATGGCAACCAGCAGTCAAAATGGAAAATCACTAATTTTTGGGATTTTTTAAATTTTTTAGTTCAAATTCAATACCAAACTATTTGAAAAATGATCAGGCAGTATCTATTACAATAGGGGTGTGTTTCTTTTTAGAACCTGCATATTTATATGGACTGTGGAATCCCTGAGGCAAATAGTTCTTAGTTTGTCTGCTCGTTCACTTGTTTAATACCACTGGTTTCAGTTGATAATTTTAGTATCTCTTGCTTGATTGTAATAAAACTTGCCTTTTTTATGAAACCTAGAGACTCACTCAGACACCTGACTTAAACTGATTTTTCAGTTTACAAGACAATCCCTCATCTGCAATAAATAACCCACCTCAGGGACCTCTAACAGACTAAACATTAGCATTCCAATTTTGATGAAACTTTGCAAGGTATTTTTATTTTATTGGTGTTTTGTACATAAATCAGGCTGTTTTGACATGTTTGAATTGCCTTACATTCGTCATTTGGTTTTATAGCTTGCCAAACGGTATGGAGTTGGCTCATTGTTGAAGGCCATATATCTCTTAACTTCTATCTCTTTTGGTCTCTGGTGGCAAGTTTTCTCAGTGGCAATCATGCCCCGTATATCCCACCTTTTTATATATATTTGAAATTTTAAACACAATGCTGACAAATATAGCACACAGGACAGCTTCTATGTTTGTTGTATAATGGAATTATTACAGGAGCATATCTAAGTTTGACATAGACAAATTCTTCTTTTATTTCCTAGGACTAGTTTATGTATAAAAATTAACACATGAGATAGTTGAACCTGATACACCCGCCATATAATCCTTTTTTTATATCTGTCAATTTATCCGTTTTATGCTTTTGAAATTACATACATAAAAAATTTCAGGCTAAATAGTGTGTTATTAGATTTGTATTAAATTGAAAATGTGTCTATAAGACACAGGATGTCCTGCCATTAAATGTAGGTCACAGTAATCAAATTGTTGATGACCAGTGTGGTATCATTAAAGAATACTGTAGTGATGATATATCACAATAGGTTTCTGTGAAATGAACATAAACACAAGACTTAACCAAAGACACAAAAGCAATAAATGTAGGTCAAAGTGACTCAAGTAATGTATAGTACTACTAGCATTACTAGTATATGAGATGTCTGTGGAGAAAAAATATCACTGATATATTACCATTAGTTTCTGAGAAATAGAGATAAATGCAAAACTTTACTGGAAAGGGAGGTACAATACTTATGGACTGACAAAGGTATACTAGTATCAATCTATATAATCCATCCACATTTGTGGCAGGGCATAATAAAATCCAATCTTGGTAACTTTTCAAATAAATATAAATAACAACATGCAGTATTGTGACAAAAGTACTCATTTATGATCAAATTTCAGTTCCCATAAATTACTTATTTAGATTCAATAAATTCCCCCCAAAAAATAAATAATTTAAAAGTGTTGAATTGCATGGTTTGATTAGTAGCAGGCCAACTTCACAGGTTTATTCTATTCATATAACCTTATGATTTTCTTTTCAAAGTGTGCCAATTTTTAAAAATCCTGTTCTGTATAATCAGTTATGCAAATACCTGTCACCCCTCTCCTCCCTCTTACAATTAATTTAAATGCACACATGTTTTTTTATGCTAAAACAGTGTTTTTGAGATTTATAAAGTTCTCAACAGTAAATTATTTTGATAAGTGTACCTGTTTCATTTCATATACTACCTTTATTTTCTTTGGTAGGACAGTAAGTTCACCAAATACAATGAACATGCGTATAACAATTGGGACTAAAATTACATGCAAGTTTTCCACGCAAAATTAAAAAAATATATTGCATTAGTGTACATTGTACTTCTTAACTTATGCAAAAACAATCTATTTCCTATAGCTTCTGTATTAATTTTTATGTGTAAACATGCGTTATTGCCTAAATTGACCAAATAACTTTTTTCAATCATGATGATGATGGGAGTTTTAACGACCTTGACTGGCTATACAGCCCTTGCACTGTCGTTTTTTTTCTATTCAATTATACATGGCCAAGCACGTTTTATACTCATGTGGAAGAATTCAAAAATCTTTAAAATTTTAAATTGGTAGAAAAAAAAACATGTTTATGTCATGCATCATGCATGTAAAGCCACCTTCTTTGGATAATCTTTTATTTTTCAGACACACATTAATTTAAATTTTGAATAATTGTAATAAATCTTGAATCCTTGATACACTGAATGATTCTTCAATTGCTTTACATACATGCTACATAATATATTAGGGCATTTAACATTGTTAAATAAATCAATGTAAAACATAAACTACCTAAGCTACATGATTAAAATGGATATATCAGTATTGTCTTTAATAAAGATTGTATATTTACTTTGTCAACTCTTTTATAATTCCCTACTCTAACATGTCTAAGGTCATGCAAAGTCTATAAAAAATGTCTATTCAGTTTGAAAATAAAATTATTTCATTATTTTAAAGAGGTGGATTTAGGGGAGGTACATATATGGTTAATTCATAGCCTTTTTACATGTCCCACTTCAACCGTTGCCTAGTTTGGGAAGCCTTTTGCCCCTTTTTTCGAAATCCTAGAAACATATTTGTAACATTTTGTTACCTGCATTTCTTTCAGACCATACCTGATAAATGAAAATATAAAAAAAACACACTAGACTTGCACCTTCTCAATTAAATTTTTACAGGCCTTTTAAAGCTGACTATGTGGTATGGGCTTTGCTCATTGTCGAATGCGGTACAGTGACCTATTGTTGTTAATTTCTGTGTCATTTGTTCTTTTGTTTTATTGGATATCATACCATATCTTTTTTTTATATAATGTTCTACTTTTAGGCAAAAATGTATATTAAAATCATAGAATATCTACCAGCTCTAACTCAAAGTATGGCCCTTCACTTCCCATATGTTAAAAAATACAAAAAATGTACATTCATTTGTATGTAATAAAGAAATTATAAAAGTAACGAATCAATGAAATAACCTGAATAACCTTTTACATTTTGCCACTTTGAAAATAATTATAAGAACTATTACATGTACCCCCCTTTTTCAATTCCAACTAATTTATAAGCATAGCCCGATTTGAATTAATCTAATTTTTTAATTCTGTCCATGAAAAGTGTACTGTTCTAGCAAAGCACATACTGATATAACTTTATTAATTAAGACATTTGACATAAAATTTAACAAAGAGAACAAAATTTTAATACAACAGTAAATTGTTTGAAATATATAGTTCAATATGCACCTCACCTTATCCATGTTATCATTAAATAATTAACACAGTATGATATGTGCCAAGTTTTACATGAATAATCTACAGGAGGGACCCAGAATTTTAGAAAAAGAGGGTGGTGGGGTTACTGATGGATGGACAGACAGACAGACTGACAGAGTGCAAACCAAAAGTCCCATTCGACTTCGTCGTTAGGGACTAATAATCTAAACTAACAACAGAGTAAATGAAAATTTTGTTTGCAAAAGAAACTCCTGCCTTTTTCCCCGAAAAGTCAAATTGTCATTAGTATTAATTTACTTATGGTGTCTGATGTAGACAACATTCTGTATGTATGTGCCTGTCCCAAGTCAGGAGCCTGTAATTCAGTGGTTGTCGTTTGTTGATGTGTCACATTTTTGTTATTGGTTTATTTTTTGTACATAAATTAGGCCGTTAGTTTTCTCGTTTGAATTGTTTTACATTTGTCATTCCGGGGCCTTTCATAGCTGACTTTATATATGCGGTATGGGCTTTGCTCATTGTTGAAGGTCGTACGGTGACCTATAGTCGTTTATTTCTGTGTCATTTGGTCTTGTGGAGAGTTGTCTTATTGGCAATCATACCACATCTTCTTTTTTATATTTTTTTTTTACACAACTGCCAAGTTGCAAATAAATGGTGATTTAGTCAACACACCATGAATTACA